GGAGACATAACAACTACAATTCTTTGAAGTTGTTACGACAAGCAAACAGAAAGGACATTGTTGGGTGGGAGGGAGGAGAGGGAGGAGGGAGGGAGGTTTTGGTAATGGGCCACAATAATCAACCACACTGTATATCGACAAAATAAAATTTTTTAAAAAATGTAAAATTGGTTGGTTGGTTGGCTGTTTTTTAAATCTAGTTTTTGGAGGTCTCTGATTGAAGTGATTGAATTGATTGAATTCATTGCCAGAAGCCCCAGTACTCCTTGTCCTAAGCACAGGGCAGCGCAGAACACTGATTTTCCAGGTTTGGGCAAAATCAGGCATGTGACACCTGGGATATCAAACCAAACTCGCCTGAAGCCCAAAGCCATGAACCCATTTCCCTAAGTAGCTAGCAAATGTCCCTGGGTGTTTGTCTTTGTCCTTAAGGAGAAGGAGAAAAGAAAGCAGAGCCTTCCTCCCACGGTGGGGGGTGGGGGTCTCTCTCCAAGCCCCTTCCTGGCTTTCTCTGCCCGCCTCTCATCTGACCCCCTCTCTACCTCCCGGTAACGTGGGGTGTCCCTGTGCCTTGGACTATGGCATGAAAATCAAGCAGAGCAGCACCAGCCAGAGCATGTGACTTAAAAACCCACCGTCAGCCCCAAATGCCTTCACCCTTCAGGGTGATGGGGACAGCTGCTTGTGGGGACACATGCACCTACATGGAACTCTGGATTTCTCAGGGCTCATTTTATCACGTGCTGATACATGCAGCTTCCCCCAGAGTTCTGTGTCTGCGGATATTCTTGATAAACCCCATGTCAGAGCCCCTGGGATGTCCCCATCACCTGCACCCTCCAGCACTGGCCCCGTGGCCAGGCGGGGATGGGGGCTCCCGCTCCACGCTCACCCCCTGCATTTGCTGTTACAGGGAGTACTACATCACCATGGTCAAGTGGGCAACCAGCACCAAGGTCGCCGTGACCTGGCTGAACCGGGCGCAGAACGTATCCATCCTTACCCTCTGTGATGCCACCACGGGGGTCTGCACCAAGGTATGGGGAGGCGGGAGGGGGAGGGGTGGTCCGAGGTGGCTCCAAGGTTTTGGTGTCACGTTGTGGGTAAATGCGGTCCTGCTGCAGAACCCCGGGGCGAGTCCTTGCGGCTCAGTCCTAGCGGGACCCCATCCCCTCTCGGAAGGTCCCCGGAGAGGCCGGTAGGCTCTCTAGGGGTCTCAGCCTCTCTCCATGTAGGATAAGAGGAGGCAGACGTAGGCAAGAGAAAAATGGAAAATTCTTAAAGAGGGAGCAAAGAAAGAAGGAAAGTCGTTCTTAAGGCCTGCTGGGCCGGGGAAACAGGGATGTGACCACGTGGCCTCCTGTCACTCAGCCCCCTCCCAGCCCTACGGGGCACACCCTCCACCCCGTGGGCGATGATGCCACACTGCTGAGCCATCGCCCTAAGGAGCAGGTCAATTAAAATGAAACTCTTTTTTGACCCTAAACTTTTGTTTCTCAACTGAGAAGGCAGAAGGCCTGCAAAAGCACATTTATTGTGACTTGTGAGGCCCTTAGAAAGCAGCTCTGGTTGCACCACCCGTGGTTTTGAGATAAGTCTTAGTGATTTGTTTCTAAGATTTATATTCTCGAGTTAGTCAGTGATTTGCCTTACTTTTATATAATTTGGAGCAGATTCCAGGTTATTCTGATGGGCTTGCTTGAGAGGAAGGAAGGAAAAAGCGAACACATGCCTAAGCAGATGAGAATTGCTTATAATCTAAATCCTCTCTGTGCCCGGCATCTGTGAGTGTCAGCAACAGGAACTCCTTCCTGCCAATAGTCCACAAATTAAAGACTAACGTCCTGAGGTGTCCAGAGGTCCAACCAGCCCAGCAACAGGCCTGTGGCACCTTGGGAGGACACTGTGTGCAGAACAGCGATGTCTGGTGATTTGGGTTTTGTTTTCGTTTCTGTTTGTGCATCTTTGCACACAGTTCTGTGAGCTCTACTTTTTATATGTTTTAACCCCTTTTAAAGGGTTTTGATCCACCAGGATTGTTACTCAGTTACTACTAGAATTTTGACACAATGTCCACACACGAGCGTGTGCGCACACAAACACACACAAATTCCTAAAACAACGTAACCCCTGAGGTCTGCCTTTATAGGGATACATGCCTGGGCCATGACACCAAACGGTAAAAGTGCCACCATCTTACAAAGGATTGCTGCCCACCGTGGATTTGCCCTCTTCGTTAGGAATAGGGCATTTTTCTTGTTCAAGGACACTTGTGTTTGGCTCTAACCCACAAACATGACAAAGAGGAGAGCTGGATTGCCTCTGCTCCGAGCCAGCCACCGGGCCACTCTGTGCCTGTGCAGCCACTGTGCAGGTGAAGCCACACTGTTTTCTGCACTGTTGGTCGCAGACGCAATGCATGCAGTGACCCTTTTCTAATGCTCTTATTCCATTTCAGAAACACGAGGATGAAAGTGAGGCCTGGCTCCACAGACAGGTAACTGTCCCGTGCACCGGCCACCCGGCTCACCCCCATGAGCCACGCAGGGTGTAGGAGTTCTTACAGCAGCCAAGAAGCTTCTCAAATTGAATCACACAGAACTGCTCAGATAGAAAGAGACCATGTGTGGCTGTGGTGGGGGTGGCAGGGGCTGCTCAGCTCTGTCGCATCTCTGTTCTCCGCCGCAGCCCCGAGGCACTGCTAGAGAACCCGGGAAGACAGTCTGAAAATCGCTGCTCTTCAGAACATAGGGCGTTCGGTGAGACCTCAGTTCTCAGTTAGGTGACATCCTTTTGGTGAATTAAAAACCATGAGCCCATAAAAGTTGCCTTGAGATAATCTTCTATGGCAAAAGAAAACGAAAATGTGGTTGACATGCCTGTGTATCCTTGAGTGGGGTTTTGCTGACATCTCCTTTGAAGTAGACTCCACTGTGGTTTGGCAAGAGCCTTCCTCGGGGACATGACCTCAAAGTCGTGCACGTTAGAACAGTCTCTACGAGCTTGAGATTAAAAGAGACCAGGAGAAGCCTAGAATAAATCACTGTTTGGGAATTTTTTTTCAAAAGAGGTTAAACTTACACAAGAAATAAAACCCTTAGCACTTAGTATTTTCTTTCTTCAATTCATTTTGCCTCATCCCACACGCTGACATCAGAACAAATGGGTGCAAAAATTTCAGAAGCTTACTTTCTTTTTGTGCTACCTAATGGAATGAAAATTGTCTTAAAATTCTATGGGAAAAAAATCAAACCTTATTTGAGTCTCAAGAATTATGGTGGAGAGGCACAGGTGTGCTTCCTTATTGATACGGTAGATTCTACTTACAGAAAATAAGTAAAGCTGGACAGTACAGCTATCAACAGTGGTTCTCCAAGAACATTCCAGACTCTCATGGCAGTGCTGCTTCTTTTATCTGTGGGACTAACAATCCGTTACAGCCTCTGTTGACCGTCTCAGAGTTGATAGCCCCATCCGTGGGCACCGTTACTTTTAAATATATCCTTTTTCTGCTCCGTGCCAATCTTGTCCAAAAGAGCAATGGTTCATTATGACCACTTTTATTTTCCTGTGTCCAAGTCAGGGTGCCAAGTCCAAACCAAGAAGAAATCAAGAATGAGAGAGGACTTGGGAACCCTAAAATATTAGCATGCTGGGAAGTTCTCAAATTCCGCCTGGACCAAACGTTTAAGCATAAACATCAAAAATAATATTATGATGTCCATCTTATATCAAAAAGAATGTTAGAGAGATTGAAATGAAAAGGTTATTTTTAAAAATCCATTATCTGTATAGTCATGTGTTCAACCAACGTTTATGTATCATACCAGGCACTGGGCTAGATTTTGTGGATTTCAAAAATGAATCAGCTACTGTCACTGAGCACATGTTGTAGCACGTGTCAGAATCTCATTCCTTTTTATGGCTGAGTAATATTCCATTCCCTGGATATACCACAATTTGTCTGTCTGTTGATGGACACGTGGGCCGTGTGAATAATGCTGCGGAAAACAGGATGTGAGTGAAAAGAACCATGCCAAGTTCCCCTACTGCACAGTCCCGCATATACGAAGCATCCAGAATCAATAAATTCACAGAAGTGGGGATCTGATTGGTGGTTGCCAGGGCTGGGGAAAATGGGGGTAACAGCTTACTGGATATTTGGGGTGATGGAAAAGTTTTGGAATTAGATAGAGGTGGTGGCTGCACAGTATTGTGAATGTACTAAATGCCACTGAACTGAACACTTTTATTAAAATGTTTCATTTTGTGTCAGGTGGATTCCACCTCGCGATGTCTTTTTCAAATGGATCATCAGCAGGAGCGGCAGCTCTCAAAGACCTTACGGTCTAAGCAGAGATGGGATGTGCATGTAAATTCCAAAGTGTGGGAGACGAAGGGAATCCTACTATATGTTAAGATCCTACAGTATGTTCATAACTTGCATTTAAGTGTTTAGACCGAGGTCTAGCGGGTGTGGGGCCGGGAACAGCAGAGGGACACCCAGCGGCAGGTGGGCATGGGGCCTCAGGCCACGCGCAGACGTTGTGCCGGATCAGCAGCAGGTGCAGCTGTGCCCGAGAGCCCCACGATGCTTCTTCACTGGGGCCCGGGGGGCACGCGCTCTACTTCCCGGGCCCGCTTGAGGGGCGCTGCCCCCGGAGCCCGGCTTCCTGCCAGCCGCAGAACGCACATCTCGCAGGCGGGCACCTGCCGTGCACCTGCCCTGCACCTGCCCTGCTCCTGCCCTGCTCGCCCACCCCGCGCCTCTCGCAGCGAGGCCATCGGCGGGATTTTCCAGATCCACTGACGGTGCGCGCACCCCAGCGCCCCTCTGTGTGCCCCGGCCCTGACTGGGGTTTGGGAAGCCAGGTCTTTGCAGCCTGAATGGAGTTTGGGAAGCCAGACCTTTGCAGCCTGACTGGGGTTTGGGAAGCCAGATCTTTGCAGCCTGACTGGGGTTTGGGAAGCCAGATCTTTGCAGCCTGAATGGGGTTTGGGAAGTCAGGTCTTTGCAGCCCGACTGAGGTTTGGGAAGCCAGGTCTTTGCAGCCTGAATGGGATTTGGGAAGCCAGGTCTTTGCAGCCTGACTGGGGTTTGGAAAGCCAGATCTTCGCAGCCTGACTGAGGTTTGGGAAGCCAGATCTTTGCAGCCTGACTGGAGTTGGGGAAGCCAGGTCTTTGCAGCCTGAATGGGGTTGGGGAAGCCAGATCTTTGCAGCCTGACTGAGGTTTGGGAAGCCAGATCTTTGCAGCCTGACTGGGGTTTGGGAAGCCAGGTCTTTGCAGCCTGACTGAGGTTTGGGAAGCCAGATCTTTGCAGCCTGACTGGAGTTGGGGAAGCCAGGTCTTTGCGGCCTGAATGGGGTTTGGGAAGCCAGGTCTTTGCAGCCTGAATGGGATTTGGGAAGCCAGGTCTTTACAGCCTGACTGGGGTTTGGAAAGCCAGATCTTCGCAGCCTGACTGGGGTTTGGGAAGCCAGATCTTTGCAGCCTGAATGGGGTTTGGGAAGCCAGATCTTTGCACTCTGACTGTGGTTGGGGAAGCCAGATCTTTGCGGCCTGATTGGGGTTTGGGAAGCCAGGTCTTTGCAGCCTGTCTGGGGTTTGGGAAGCCAGGTCTTTGCAGCCTGAATGGGGTTTGGGAAGCCAGGTCTTTGCAGCCTGAATGGGGTTTGGGAAGCCAGATCTTCGCAGTCTGACTGGGGTTGGGGAAACCAGATCTTTGCAGCCTGGCTGGGGTTTGGGAAGCCAGGTCTTTGCAGCCTGACTGGGGTTGGGGAAGCCAGACCTTTGCAAGCAAAATCAAGCCAACACTTACAAAGTGGCACCAATTACAGTGACAATTCTTAGGGTTTTAAAATGTAAACTTTAAAGCACTAAGCAAAGAGCTAACATTTTTAAAACAGCTACTTAAAAATACGCAATGCCGTCTTGAGTTTGAAGCGTGATGTTCCTCTGAGACGCTGTGTTCCTGGTGGCTCAGCCCCCAAGCCATAGCCGCGGGTGCCCCGCGTCACAGGGCAGGGGTGGCCCCCAGGCCGCAGAGGAGGCAGGCGAGCACCCTGCAGAGAGTGCGTCTGTGACTGAGGCAAGGCCAGGGATCCTCGGTCTGTAAGAAGCTCCAATTTCAAATAGTTTCTCATTGCATTCCTTTCTTCATAAAGCAATTCATGGACCCTATTTTTCAGAAACGATCGGTAGTGTTCCTGCAACCCTCAAGATACCGGGAAGTCCTGGAGGACACCTTAGGAACTTATTGAAGGCTGGCCCTACCCTCTGCAGCCACTTCAGGTGGAGCTCGGGGGCTTTTCTCCTCAGAGGCCCATGGGATGAGTGGGGATGGACCTCTATTCACCCACCTCCAATGGGTCACAGAAGCTTGCCCCAGCCGGCCCAGAAAATACTGGAATCTGGAAAGTTCTGCAGACCTCAAGGAGACCGGGTCTGCTTAGATCAACCAGTCTTCCCATTCCCGCTGCCAGAGGAGGGGTGAGCTGCACCACAGTCCCGCCAACTTCATGTCGTCCAACCCTCTGTCTCCTCCCTGACCACCTCCGTCCCTAAGTCCTCAGCATGCATCCCTGCAGAGATTCCCCAGGAGCCAGAAGGAAGAGCCAGGGGCGAATGTGTGTGTGTGCAGCAAGTTTTCCCTCTCCTCTGGGAATATTCCAGAGAAACAGGCAGTCCCTCCACCCACATACACACCCGTCACTGCTGCCCAGACCCGATGCGACCGACGAGGCTGCCTCCAGAAACATCCCATTTGTGTAGAACCTGGAACCTGTCGTTCTGTTTGAAGACTCAGTCCCGTGGATCATTTCTGTCTTTCTTCTATAACCAGAACTTTGGCTTTGTGGTTTCAAAATTTGGGCTGGGAAGTTAGACGAGATGAGTACATCTGAACCGTGGGAAGAACGGGCAGAAATGCTGCAGACAGCTCACAAAGAATCTCTCCCCAGAAAAAGGACTGGTTCTTCATAGACCTGCTAGGAATGAAGCTGTAGAAACCAGGCCTCCTGCGTGACCGGTTCTCTATTATCCAGAGAGACTAGAAACATGAGAGGCAGAACCAGGGTTAAAATTCACGTCCCCTAGTCAAAAGCATTGCACTTTGCCACTAAAAATACATTCACTACATCAGAAACCGAGTCTCAAGGAGACTCAGAGAGAGCTCCCCTCACCTCGTGCAGTGGGATGTTTCGGTGGAATGTTGCAGAGGTGACATCAGAGTGGTTGAGGCCTTCTTATTATTAAAATAATGCTTCAGGCCAGAATTAATTATTTATTACATTTATTCATTTTTCTCTGCCAAAAGTGCAAACGTTTACCCCCAAAAACTGAGAGAACCTCGCCATGCCTATCCGGCAGTTGGTAAATGGAAGTACATTTTTAAAAAGCCAAATTAACTGCTGGTCTTTCCATTTCCTCTACTTTTAAATACCAAGCTTCCAGCTCTAAATAGAAAAATCAATATTTGCAGATTAAAGGGTTCACTTCATTGCAAATATTCATGAAGATTAAATGTCATTTTAATCACATGTTAGTTTATTCTCTGGGCATGGCATATTTGCATGTGTTCATTTACCGCAGGGAAATGAGTTTTCCTCAAGCCAGCTGGGGTTTATTTACCATTCGTTCTCCTCCCCGCACTCATGAGGAGCTCCATGAATCAGAAAATATATATCATAGCCGACTAATTGACGTTCACGGATGGGAACTTTCAAACCTGAGTTTCAGAGAGGCTGAGATGCCACCATTACAAAATCCCTTTTTGCAACCACAGCGGCGGCCAACCTTCCGGGGTGACTGGGGGCCGAGTAACTGGTGGCTGGATGTTTGCAGGGCCGGGTGGAGATTGGGGGCAGCAGTCAGGCCTTAAGTCCAGCTTGGAATACCCCCACCCTGGGGACAGTAGGAATGCCGACTTCATCTCCCAGGAGAAGCAGCAGTGGATCCAGCAAGCGCGTGCCACCTAGTGCCACCTGAGGTCGAGCTCTCCAGGCTAGAGTGAGCCCCGGGCAAGCTCTTCCTGCTCATCTGTGTTTCAGAATATACAGGATGTGTCCTTGGTTTGTTTTGTTTTTCTTGTCGTCTTGATGGGCCACTCAACATGAAATAGATTTTATTAAATAAGAACAAAAGACAGGACTGAAAGAATAGAATTCATTTTTAGGCACCATTTGGTTTGTAACTGTTCAGAATTACGTTCTTTCTAATAGATAATAAATGCCACTGGAGAAGTTTCACAGTGCACTGTGGCTTCAGTGGGTGACAGTATGGGGGGAAGTACCACACTGTGCTTTTCGACAGCCGAGTCCCTGCTCTCTCTGGAGAGTTTGGCACGCACACACGTCAGTTCCTTTTACTGTTGCTGTAGACTCAGGGATATCTTTTTATCTGCCTCTGCTTACGCTGTGGCCTCTTAATTCCCCATTATTCCTCTTCTTTTAGAAAACTGATGGTTTGGCTCAGGATTCCCAGGGAAAGAGAATCCCCATGTGCTGCTTATTCTTTCAACCGCATCTCTCGTTAGAAATTACATAGCCAGGCCACTACCAGAAAACAGAAAAACAAATGCTGACGAGGATGCGGAGAAAGGGAAACCCTTCTACACTGTTGGTGGGAGTCTAAATGAGTACAGCCTTTATGGAAAACAGTATGCAGGTTTCTCAAACAACTACAGATAGAGCTGCCATATGGTCCAGCAATCCTGCTGCTGGGTATACACCCGAAGGAGTGGAAATCATCATGTCAAAGCATCCCATGTTTACCGCAGCTCTGTTCACAATAGCCAAGATTTGGGAAGCAACCTAAATATCCATCGATGAATGACTGAATAAAGAAAATGTGCTACACACACACACACACACAGTGGAATACTACTCAGCCATTAAAAAGAATGAAATTCTGCTATTCACAGCAGCATGGATGAGCTTAGAGAAAATTATGTTAAGTGAAGTAAGCCAGACAGAGAGAAATACCACATGGTCTCATAAGTGGGAGCGAGAAATAAATAAATAAGTTGAACTTTTAGAAGTGGAGAGTAGAACTGTGCTTATTAGAGGGGGGAAGGGGAAGGGAGCGGGGGATGGTGAGAAGCCGGTTAATGGACAAAAAATTGCAGCCAGATAGGAAAAATAAGTTCTATTGGTGTACAGTCAAGCCAGGCATCTATAATTAACAATAACTTATTGCATGGTGTCACACGGCTAAAAGAGAGGAGTTTAAACGTTCTCATCACAAAGAAAGGATAACTTTTTGCGATGGTGAATTTGCTAACTATCCTGATTTGATCACTACACATTGTATACATGTATTGAAATATAACTCTGTAACCCATAAATATGTATAATCAACATGCGCCAATTAAATTTTTCTAAAAAGCTAAAAAAAAAATGAAATTACATAGAACATCGATCTCCAAAACAAAATGCAGCCTCTGCCTTGATTTAACCAATTGCTCTTGCCCGCAGAATGAAGAGCCAGTGTTCTCCAAGGACGGCCGGAAGTTTTTCTTTGTCAGGGCGATCCCCCAGGGAGGACGAGGAAAATTCTATCACATCACCGTGTCGTCATCCCAGGTAAATCCCGCTAGTTTCTAAAACCATTTTTGCGGTGTTGATGACGGCCTCTAGCATGTGCACACTTGCCATTTTCAACACGGCACAGAGTTTGCAGAAGTCAGAAGTTCCGATTGGGGGCGTGGGTGGAGCTTTGCTCCTTCTGTGAATGCTCAGCAGCATAGACGGCATCTGGCAGTATCGGGGGAGACTTGGGATTCAGTGTTTGTGGGAGGCCGAGGACCTGGGATGAACATCTTGAGCCTCCTGCTCCTTCCTCTCCCTCTGCTGGGGTGGGGGCCCCCCAAAACACTCCCTCCCTTGAGGCCGGGTCCAGTGCACCCATGGTCCCTCATGAGACCGGCCTCCGAGCCATCCCATCTCCATCTTTAGCTAAGCGCAGGTCTTATTTTATTATGCGGCTACAGCTGATCGTCACTCCCCTGACTCTGGGGTCTGATGGTTTAGGAGCAAGCATCATTGAGCAGGCAACTTCAGAGATCAATATCCATGAACTTAGAACCAAAACAGACATCCTGGTGAATCCAGTCCCCTGCAAAGAGGTCGCCCCAGGGAGCCTCACACTGCTGGAGGCTGCTGGAGGCTGCTACCGCCACAGCCTGGGCTTTTGGGAAATTGCCCTGAGAAAGAAGGTGGGGAGGGGTGGGCATGTCCTTGAAGCCCCTCATGACCACAAACCCCATCTTCCATGTGTTGGATTTTTGAGGCAAGTCTAAAGTTGTTTGGGATCAGGGTAAGTGAATAAAATTTGATTAGGAAAAGAGTCTGATCATAAATATTCTGTGAATATAAAGTAGAAGGCTAATATTTGTGATGTGGCCCAAAAGGCAAATTCAAAACCAAAATCCAAGAATGTCCCTCCAAAGAGCAGCTTTGGTGGCATAAGGGTGAAGAATGCTGGGACTTCCGGGACAGAAGTAATGTTTACTCGGGGCTTAGGTACAAATACTTTTGCTTTTAATCCACTTAACCACATGACTTCAGAATGTCTGCAAACGATTTTCATCCATTTATTCCCATGGTCTTTGTTCTACATCCCCAGATTCCTTGGTTTTCTCATTTTGGACCACTTCAATCCAGATAAAAATTTTAGATGCTTTCATTGGACCCCAGTCTTGAATTGGTCCAAGTGGTCAGCACTTGCTGGGGACCCTGTCAAACAGTCCAGCAGGAGCAGGTCTTCTGCCCATTGCCCAGGTGGGCGCCCACTCCTGCCCTGGCCCTTTGTCTCTGTCCCCAGGAGCCCCTCGAGCCCCCTCGGCCTGCCGAGTCACGCCCCCAGCTCCTCACATGCTCTCCCTTCTCCCTTGTCGGGATCTGCACCCCCAGCGTTTTAGCCTCGGTCCCTCCCTGGATTGAACCTCCTCTCGCTGCCACCTGCCCCCTGGGGCACTGCACCCCACACCCCATTCACATTGCCGCTGAAAACACAGCTCCTGCCCAGTCTCTGTCCTTCTGTTGTGACTTATGATTGTAACTATTCTACTTAGCTCCGGGGGCACCTGGGAAACATGTGATTCTCAATAAGAGAGGGAAGGCACGTGCCAGCTGTGCAGAGGAACCAGCTGGGACAAGCAATGCAGAGTGCCTCAGTGACACTCCCCGCCATGGGCACTCAGAGGGACAGAGCTGCGGGGCTGGGGTGGGGCAGACGCAGCCCTGTTCCTAAAATGACTGAGGGACGGGTGTGGCCCACAGCCCAGCCCTGGGCCTCTCCTCCTGACGTCTGTCTGTCTGTCTCTGTCTGTTTCAGCCCAATAGCAGCAACGACAACATCCAGTCCATCACCTCTGGGGACTGGGACGTGACCAAGATCCTGTCCTATGATGAGAAGAGGAATAAGATGTGAGTGAGAACCAGGGTCTGTCCCGCAGGCCACTCACAGCAGAAGGCCCCACCTCACTGGCTAACGGGACACACGCGTTATTTCTGGTCAAATCGTCTTGACTGAGTGCAGGAGGCAGCACAGGAGGCCTTATCTTTCCTTCTTAGACGATGTCACTAGCCCCTGTTCTTGGTGAAAATACGTGGCAGACTCCTGTCTCCGGAGCTGCAGGGCACAGGCGGTGAAGCGGAGTTTGCAGCAGGGCTGCGAGGTGGGCAGGCCGGTGGCAGTGGCAGAGGCGGTGGCAGCAGCACTGATCTTCACCAAACCTTTACTAGTAGCAGTGCTGACCTTCCCTGAGCTTTGCTAGTCCTGTGCTCTATGCAGAGCTTCATGAGGGGCATCCCACCTAGTACAACAGCTCCATGAAGCAGGCTTCCTGCTTTCCCCATTTTAAAAGCAAATCAATGAGGAAAGGAGTTATTTACTCCAATCCTCAGCCGGTCACAGTGGAGCTAGCACTGAGCTGAGAGGAAGGGAGCCCGGCCGGTACTTCAGCATGACCCCGTAATCCCCCCACTCACGTGAGCACAGCCACGGTTTCTGCTCTGGGGGTCGTAAGCGAAAATCAATCAATAAGGATTCATTGGTCCAGGCTTTATGTCCGGACTGGTATGAAGTGTGTGCTTGGGCCTTTGCCCTCCAGAAGGTTAATATTCTTGTAAAGAAATTCCTGCACCAGTGCAGGTGTACATCACCGCCATGCTCAACCCTACAACTCTGAAGGGACAGTGGGTGCAGAGATACCTAGACCCAGTAGAATCTGCACTGGCATGTCCCTCCACCGTCAGGTGTCTGGCCACCCCTGCTATGGCTACGGGTGTAACTGCACCTGAACAGGAGAATCACTCACTGTAGGCATGGAATGGTGGCCGTCCCTGAGAAGTGTGTATAAGGGTATGCAGAGAATGGGAAATGCAGGTGTGCCTGGGAGCAAACTAATCCTGTGCACCTTGATCTTTGCAGCTACTTCCTGAGCACGGAGGACCTGCCTCGGAGACGACAGCTCTACAGGTAGCACCTCTCTTCTGGCACCAGGGGCTGTCCCCCAAGGAGGGCTCCCAGGCTTTGCCCCGTTGCACGTTTGCAGCAGTTGGTAGGGAGGCAGCAGAGGAAGATGCCCATGGATGAGTAGCTATAAAGTCTGGAGAGAAGTCCTGACAAATGCTAAGGCCATCAAATCTGAGGTTTTGTTTTATGTTTCTGCTTTTGTTGAATTGAGGGTTTTCTGCCTCACTTATCTTCTCCTGTTGGTAATTGATGGACTTCTCCCAGTCCTTCCTTTTCACCTGCATTCAAATGTTAAATTAAAGGAACTGTTCTCAACCTGGGATTTTGCAGGAGCGCACAAGCTTCTAATCTCAAAGAAGGCAGAGAACCTATGAGCTCTGAATCCTGGAGAGGGATGAGATTTTTCCCAGGGTCTGTCCCTCTCCAGCATTTAATCCTGTCACCTGCCACAGTTACTGTTCCCGCTGGAGCAGGTTTTGGTTCTGAAGTGAGATTAGCCCTGGGGGCTGCTGCCTGTACGGCACAGGTGGAGCTGCGGCAGTCTGCTAGCTCCTCGGTGCTTTGCTCATGAGAAGGGGGGTTGCAGCTGGCTGCCGCCTAAATGCACGTCATCTACTGAAGAGGATGTCGCTAGTGCAGACTCAGGGAGTGAGGCCAGTGCCTCACAGTCTGGATGGAGCCAGTGGCTCTTCTCCCTGTACCCACCGCCGTGATGTTGGAGAAGCCTGCTGGTGAACGGTGGCCTCCCTCCCGCCCAGCGGCCCTTCTGCCAAGAGTAGAAAGGACGGTGGTAGGAGGGAGCCCAGGTGGAGGTGGGAATCTTGGGCAAATCCACGTGGTCACAGACTTGCTCTCTCTGTAGTCTTTGCATCACTGCAGGACTACTAGGAAAACTGAACTCAGTCATGTTCCCAAATTAATAAAAAGTCATCAGGCAGCCTGCTGACCCTTTCCTCTGACTTCTAGTATTAGAGGGTTGTCATCTCTCCCGCATGAAATATCTTCAGTCTTGCAAAGATAGTCTTTGCATTGTGGGTGGACCCCTTCCCAAGCAAAATGATAAGAGCTTCTTCCAGAACTTTTTACAGCACCCCCTCCACCTGGGCTCCCATATGCCGGCCTTTCTACTCTTGGCAGAGGGGCTGCTGGACACCTTAGGATCTTTTAATTTTTGGAAACACGTTGGGCTTCTTGACCTGAAGTCATGCATGATCACCGTGGTCCTGGGTGACATCTTCAGAATGGCTCCTGTTCGTCCAGCTCCGCTGAGTGAGAAACAGTGCTCTCCATTTCACTGTGCACAGCTTATTCAGGAGAGCCAGCTGGTGGACACAGCCGGAGCGATGTTTCCAGAGACAAATCCCAGCAAATGCTGAGGCCATCCAATTGGAAGCTTTATTTTATTCTTCTGCTTTTGTTGAGTTTTTCTGCCTCGCTTATTTTTACCTTCGCTTTGGAAGATACATAACACAGAGCTCCTAGTCTCAAATCGTGTCTCACCCACTCAGAGACACAACACTGGATATGGAGCACTAGATAAGAATTCCTCACATGGGAGGCACAGAGCCTGAATGAAGCAGCGTGCATGGCCAGAACACACCATGCCAGGGAGAGGGGCTGAGAGTTCTTGAGAGTGGGAGGGTCTACCTGTTCAGGAGGGTCTACCTGTTTGGGAGGGTCTACCTGTTTGGGAGGGTCTACCTGCTCGGGAGGGTCTACCTGCTCGGGAGGGTCTACCTGCTCTGGAGGTTCTTCCTGTTTGGGAGAGTCTACCTGCTTGGGGGGGTCTACCTGTTCGTGAGGCTCTACCTGTTCAGGAGGGTCTACCTGTTTGGGAGGGTCTACTTGCTCGGGAGGGTCTACCTGCTCTGGAGGTTCTTCCTGTTTGGGAGAGTCTACCTGCTTGGGGGGGTCTACCTGTTCGTGAGGCTCTACCTGTTCAGGAGGTCTACCTGCTCGGGAGGGTCTACCTGCTCGGGAGGGTCTACCTGCTCGGGAGGGTCTACCTGCTCTGGAGGTTCTTCCTGTTTGGGAGAGTCTACCTGCTTGGGAGGGTCTACCTGTTCGTGAGGCTCTACCTGTTCAGGAGGTCTACCTGCTCGGGAGGGTCTACCTGTTCGGGAGGGTCTACCTGCTCAGGAGGGTCTACCTGCTCAGGAGGGTTTCCTGGGAAGGAGGAAGTAGAGCTGGGTGTTCATGTCGCTCCAGCTGAGAGTGTCAGGGAGAAGGGCAGAGAGGCCGCAGCAGGGAGCCTCGGGTGCCCTTTGTGCAGGGAAACCCGTCAGCATGAAATGCCCAGCTGGGAGGCTGGGATCTTGCCCACTACAGCCAGCTCCTCTCCGCCCCAGTTCACGCCGTGTCTTTGCCCTTCCAGCGCTGACACGGTGGGTGACTTCAACCGGCAGTGCCTGTCCTGTGACCTGGTGGGGAACTGCACCTACTTCAGCGCCTCCTTCAGCCACAACACGGACTACTTCCTGCTCAAGTGCGAGGGTAAGTTCCCGCCACTGTCACAAACCTGTTTCAGACCCCAGTGCCACGGTCCAGGAACAGGCACACCTGCAGGAAGAGGGAGGCGGCCATGGTAGGAGCACAGCTTATTCCAGACAGGTAAGGTCCTGTCTACCTGATGACGTCACTCACAGGACAGGACTTCTGGATTGCCTCTAAGTCTTACAGAGGTTTACAGCTTGTCAGTATTTTCTGCATACTAAGCCAGTTAGTCACAGTTTGTCTCCTTTGTCCATAGAAAAATAATAATCCTGTGAGCTAGTTGAAGCATCTTCCACATCGATGAACCTAGGCCACTATACTGGTAATAAAACAAGTTCAAAGATCAGCCTTTCAAGCTTGTTTAAGGCTTGGGGTTATATAAAAGAAGTCTCAGGAAAATATTTTTCTGTCACCAATTCATTGATAATTTATCCCAAACTTCAGCAAGTGTTTTATGCTACCAATCACCATACGTGAAAGAGTAGACCATGTCCTATGGTGGATACAAAGAACATCTTTGCATCTTGTCCTAGTTTTTGAAAAGGTATAAACCCATGAAAAGGTAAGTAATAAAAAATATGGTCATAATAAAATGTGTCTCAAAGAAGAGCTCGATGGACTGAGATCACCTCAAAGAATGAAAATATGCTACAGGTGACCCTGACTGAGATCAGAGCAATTCACTCTCTGTTAGAATTTCATTCCTACAAATCAGAGATGAAGCATGAATAATTTTTTTTTAATGTTTTGCTTCTTTATTGCCTTTTTTTTTTTTCTTTTTTGTGACTGGTAAGGGGATCACAACCCTTGGCTTGGTGTCACCCAGCACCGCGCTCAGCCAGTGAGCGCAGGGGCCATCCCTACATAGGATCCGAACCCGCGGTGGGAGCACTGCCGCACTGCCAGCGCCACACTCTCCCGAGTGAGCCACGGGGCTGGCCCGAAGCATGAATAATTTTTACTGGAGCAATGTCTTTGATGGCCTTTGGTGGCCACCATGTAGCTCATGACTTCACACTCTTTTTATCAGTGTCACCTAAAATCTTGAAAAGCCATAGAACAGGAAGACTCAGCCTCTTGACCACCACAAGCTCAGCCCCGACACTCTCCAAAGTTAATGGGGAGAAAACCGGGGGAAGGAGGACAAGGCTTCTAAAATGAACATTAGTCCCCCAGTCCCCTCAAAGTTTATTGTACCAAACTCCTCTTTCCCATCCTCCCCAGGAAGCAGACACCAAGTATCCGAAATTATAGGGTGCTGTAGGACGAAAGAACTTTAGATCTAATTGACCCACTTCATGTATCATATGGCAAAGCAGAGGCCAGAAGTGAAGTGGACCTCTGGACTCCTGGTACATCAGTGATACAGACAGGACCAGCAACACAGCCTCTCAGTTGCTAGCCCAGTGACACCTGTCCCCCTATGGTGGGATCTTCATGAAATCACAGCTTGGAAAACATGGAGATTTATAGAGCATAGAGACTGGGAGAATGTAGCAAGCAGACCCATGAGGAGACACAAAACTCTGACAAAAAGCTGCATAATCAGAGATCTGAACTCTTATCTCAGAAGGAGGAAGTGGCTTTAAAACACAGAAGGTTGTGATAAAATACAGAAAGGAAAAATTGAAATAGATTTAAAGAAGAACGTCTCAAACAACAGTGGTTGAATAGAAAGGAAGATCATCAAAAGACGGTACATACCACTTGCCAGAAATGAGTTTAAAAATCAGAAGGCCTCACCTGAAGGCAGAGCGTGAGCTGGGGCCTTTAAGATCTGTGGTTTTAACTGGTCAAAACAGTAGCAATTTGGATTTGAATTTCTTGGATTCTTACTAACTCTCACTGTACCTGCTCTGTGCGGTGATCTTTCAGAGAATGCAGCATCTCATTTGTTAACAAATCCTTTCTCTACCTCCCTTTGGAGATGAGAAGCTCCCTGCTAAGTTCAAGCCAAAGGTTAGTCTGGATGGTCTCCTAACAACGGGAAGCTTTTTATTACTGTTTCCACACACTCCAGCCCTGAGCTGGAACCCGAGAGGCTCCCCCAGGAGATCCATGGTCCTGGACTCAGGCAAGGAGGTTCCCATGTCCCATATGGTGATGTAAATATGGTACCCACGTTGGGAGGCTATTTGGACAAAGTGTGTTTTGAGATCATTGAACAGTCATTGGTGTAAAATTTTCCTGTCTCTCTGCTGGCATTCCATCCTTGGGGGCAATGACATCTCTTTTCATGTTTACGTCTAGCCAGTGTGGGGACATTTATTATCTGTAAGGCTGCTCGTGTTATCATCTGTGAATGCTTAGTGTGAAGCAAAGGTTCCTCAGTTGTGACCATGGAAGAAAACAGAGAACTGGTGTAGCCATACTAGGTCAAATACACACTGACCAGCCCCCAGAGCCCCTCCAGGAACCCAACTCCAGGAAGAAGGAGATGCCCCTCCCCACAAATGTCTGCATCCCCCCAATAATCAGATTCATGGAATGTGAGGAACAGGCATAGATCTCAGAGACCATCTGTCCCATCTCCCCCCCCCATTTTATTGATTAAGAAACTGAAGTTTTAATTGACCATGAAGTTATCACCCTAGAATTTTCTGAGTCATTTAAAATCTATTTAAATATTTAGCCTGTTGCCTCATCTTAAGGTAAGCATAGACTAGCCCCCTTCTCTGCAAAAGTGCTTTAAAAAAAATTATATATAATAATCTATTTTCTGGCCTGAATTAACCTCTCCCCAAACCCAAACCAAAACCCCATTTTAAAAAAGGGATTTCCTAAAAAGGCATAAATTTCCAAAGACAACAAAATGGGACAGGAGACAACAGCAGTAACTTTTCGAACCTGGAAGCAGCCACTGGAGGTAACTGACTTGGCAGACCTGAGAGCTGAGCCCGTATCCTGCAGTGAGCAAAGATGAGCATTGGCTCAGTGTTCCCCACAGGCGTCCGCGAGGATCACCGTAAGGGATAAAAAGATCAACTGTCATGAAATTTCAAAGGAGAAAATTAGGATAGCCAGTTGGGTTGCCTGGAGTTTTTTGCTGGGGGAGAAGAACACAGGCAAGCTTCAGGGAATAGGTGGCATTTTGAATAAATGGGTGGGTAGGATTTAGAAAATGAGAGCGGTCTGAGAGGAAGGTATGGCTTGAGAAAAAGCATAAGATTTTGCAGCAGAATTCTAAAACCAAGTGGTGGAATTCTGAGATTATGTGGTGGAATTCCTTTGCAGCCTATGAATCACAATCCATCTAGGGAATACATGCATTTAAGAAGCCCAGTTTAATAGGCAAAGATAATTTAAAATAATTTTAGTTTTCTTCATATTTCTCAGCAGATATTAAAGTTGAACCAAATGTGTAGTCCACAGCAACATTCATTAAACTCCTGTTTCCTCACCCTTTTATTTCTTTCACACCCAAAGCTACTCTGAGAGACTCTTGGAAACCTTTGGCAAAAATAATTTTTGCACTGTAGTGTTACAGTCTTGTTTTCTTCCCCTATCATCCTCCTGCAGCACTTTATTAGGAAGATTAACTTAGCCTCCCAGATGAAACCAGAACCAAAAAACTGTTTTTCATTTTTAGGCAAAGGGAAAATGTACTGGTGACTTAGGGGAAGGGGAAATCTGTAAATGCTCCCACATTCAAAATCATTCACCCATCACATAGGGAACTGCAGGCATTCAGTTTGGGCATGGGCAGAGATGATCGCCAAAGATTTAACAGCTAGGACAAGGTGGACAGCAGCCAGCCAAAATCGGTGCCAATCAGAGTGGACACAGCCATCACGCTGCATTAGGACATAAGGGCTGGGTATAATATTAGTAGCTGTGAAGTCATGAAATTGCAGCAGCCTCGTAGAAGCTTGATCATTCTTTCTACCTTTCTGTGTTCCTTCCATTAGGACAGTTTTTGGTAAGTTTATCTGATATTGACCTATCCCTTTAACATACATGCAGTGCTCAGAGTTATAACTTTATCATCTTAGTTTGTTTGATCAGCTATAACTAGGTACCATAGCCTGGGTGGCTTATAAACAATAGAAATTTATTTCTCACAACTCCAAAGGCTGAAGGCCAAGATCAGGTGTCAGCATGGTCGGGTTCTGGTGAGGGCTCTCTTCCAGGTTGCAGATGGCCAATTTCTCCTTGCGTACTCACATGGCAGAAAGAGGGTGAGAAGGTTCTCTGAGGTCCCTTTTATAAGGGCACTAATCCCATTCAGAGTCTTTACCTCATGATCTAATTACATCCCAAAGGCCCCACCCCCAAATAGCATTACCTTGGGGGTTAGAATTTTAACTTATAAATTTTGAGGAGACTCAAACATTCAGTCCATTGCAATCACAGCTGATTTTAGCTCATGAGTTGCTTATAATCAGTACTTTTATTTAATTTGCCCTTTGGATACTAACTTCTCCTAATGTCCAGTTATTCTTTTATAGTATATATTGTCCATCTTCATCATTGTAGCATTCCATTTAGTCTTATCATGTGCTTTCTTTAATTTTTTATTAACAATTCTATGATTTCTTAAGTTTTGACATTTTTCTGGTTTTTTTGTAATTCTTAATTTCTTATTTTTTAAAGTCTGTATGAACTTTTAAATGATTCAATTATTTTTATACTTTGCATAGTTACATTAAAAATACACTAAAATAGAATAGATAAGTAAAGACTCAGAAATGCTTTTAATGCCTATCTACTCGCTGCCTGGCTGGGTCCCACCTATCAGTGTCGATATTTGTATCTGAAAGGCATGGGTTTCAGGCAATCACTGGATACTTTCATGAGGGATCACCCGTAAACCAGACTCAGTAGAACCTTGTGGAAACTCACCTAGGTACTTAATGTGGAGAGATTAAAGTTTCTTTCCAGCTCTCTGTTGCCTGCCAGTGAAGCCAACTGCACCTCAAGCATTATATAATGATGTAACCCTCTATAATGATCTTTCAGGAGGCAGCTTTTGACTTACATGCTTACTTGATCTTCTCAGT